TTTGTTGTCGCATTGCGATGAAGCGAGGACGTTGACTCCCCATTTCTATTAGTGTTTTTCGCTCGTCATGGCTTCACAAAAAATATATATTAAGGAGGAAAAATATGGATGGTAGAAGTTGCATTTTTTCAGATATGAATGACGTGAAAACTCCTCATTTAGAGGCACAGAGAAGTATGAGATAATAATAAAACTGTCCACTTCCCTGCATTTTTTCAAGATCAGGTAATTTCAAGTCCTTTAATTGAAAAATCATAGCTCAAAAAAGCAAGCGGCATTAAATTTAAGTAAAATTCTTATTTTTTGCTTTTCGATAGCTATACGATCAGTTGTTCAAGTTTGGTGCATTTCGCACGCAACTGGGAAAAACACTCAGAATGATGGGCACACGTGGCGAAAAAGAGCACGGTGACCCCATCTTTTTCTCGAGAAGTATACGGTTGCCACTTAATTTTACTGAAAAAATCCCCGACTTTTTCTTGACCAGGATTTCAGGCTTTGTGTCATGCATTTTATGCAGGCCACATTGATCTCTTACGACTACGGTATCAAGGAATACTAGCATTTGAAGGATCAAACATCAAGGGAATACAGAATGTCTTTTTCCGTCTATGACATGCCTAAAACGCGTGGCAGCCAAAATCTAAATTCGCCTGACTGAGCCAAGAACTGAGAATTTTCCCGACTTTTTCCTTATTTGGAAAAACTGTTGGTTTCTCCTCACCGTAGCAGCCCTGAGTTATAATATGAACATGTATCGCACCAAAACCCACCATTCTTTAGTTTTCGGTGTTGTTATATATCTTTACCATTCTTATGTTGAGTGCCGCACAGGGCATGCAGGTGTTGTATATAGTGTGCATATATTAACAGTCTCCTGGAATTGTACATCGTATTGATTAAACTCTGTGTGAACGTTAATTTTTGACATAGTCGATCCCCCTCCATCAGGTGAACACCTCTCCATTACCATACACACACTCCTTTTCATACCGAGGATACGAAACTTTATACTTTTTTCCCACCTATACAATACGGACACATTTCTAATGAGGAAACTTTACTTGGGTGTCAGTATTTATAAGCTTTGATTGTTCTCTGGAGCACGAGGAAAAATTTAGCTGGGGGTCGTCCGCAAGGGCCTTGAAGACCCTATCCCGTCTCAGACGAAAAAAAACGCAAATTTGCAACCCTATTCTCAGACTCACGGCCTCAATTGTATACCCCAGGCCAGACCAGAAGTGAAAAGCATGTGTTTTATTTCGGTACTCAATGTTATTACAACAACTATTATGTCCTCGCATATACAGAAACTACCTAGTTTGGGTGTAGCTAGAAAGATATAAGGCACCTAGTGGGTACAGATAACCTCATCTAAGACTAAAAAGATCAAAACTGGAAACCCATCACACACCTGGAAGTAAAAAATGGAACCCCAACCACACACTTGTAGAGGGGTTAAAAGGTAGTCTAGTCTACGGCAGAGTTCACACTTGGTACCTGGGCACGGTGCCCGAGTGCGATACTTGCTGGGCACTAAGGTGAACACACCCTTTGTTTAAGTGCTCACGCTAGAATTCGGTCTCGTTGCCGGCCGGCGCCCGAGTACAAGGACGAGACCTTGTACTACGGCACAAAAGTGGGCACCCGGTCCCTGTGCGCAGACCCTTTTTGATAGGTCTGGGGCAGTCCACGGCTTTGTACTCGCTGCTAAGCTCACCTTTCAAAATGGCGTCTGACAGGGCGAAATGGATGACTATGAACACAGTTGCTTATCGGGCACTCAAGGTGTGAACCCAAAACCGTTTTATGAAGTTATCCAGGTACTGATTCCCGGGCACCAGGTGTGGACAGCGCCTCAGACATTTTGCGAGGTTACTTTCAAAACAAATTTGCAAAAATTTCTTGATAAATAATGAATAACCCATTTTCGCGTTCACAATTACCGCCGAGTAAAAACACCACATATTCATTCAGAGTTAGTCTCAGTCTGAAGTAAAGTAAGTTTTACAACTCGAAAATTCTAAATTTGCTAACTGGTCGTCTCACCAGAAATTTGTGAGTATATTCACTTCAGATCGACGCTACCCTGTGAAATGAGTCTAGTACTTTTATTCAGCCGTCAAGACGAACGCGAAACTGGACGTTTTGTTTAAAACCTTCTACTTTACTTTTTCGTTTATTTTGTACATAGCTATGTAAGTTTCTCCAGTGTCGAGGAAACATGATTGTTCTTTAGTCGATAGAACATCAACAAGGATTATCAATTCAACGACTGCGAATATAGCTGTCTCTCAAAGCTTTACGATAATTGACCAGAAAACGTGAACTCGAACAAATTGATATGTGGAACCCCATGACTACCAGATAAGTTAGGTAAACATTGATCCACGTCATCAATTTTGGGGGTCGAATCGCAGACGTCTCACCCGCAGAACGTCTCTGACGGCGAGGAGCGAGGAAAGACGGCTGTATCAGCAGGCTAATCAATTCACGACGCTCAATAAAACCCAGTTTACTTCTTTCTACAATTGCGTTTATTCTACAGCTACTTCTTTAGTATATACTGCTAGACTACGACCATTCCCTCGTGTTTCTCAGTCTATTGGACGAAACGCGCGAGCCTGAGAAGAAAATGACCACTCTCTTTTCGCGTGCCTCATCGCTCGCATGTTTTGAGTCATATTTCAAAGAAAATCAAGACTATTCGCAGTGTAATCGTGGCGACCAGAGAAATCCGCAGTCTTAACTCTAAAGTTGCAAAATACGCATGCTTGGCACGTATGTAGCCAGCATTCGTTTACTCCTTCCACTAGGAATGAATAAAATAAATAATGAAAGATGGTAAACTCTTTTGCTTAATAATTATCAAATTCTTTTTCCATCTGAACGTAATTTTGAAGGGCCGGTTTTCCTCAGCTAAAATCGAAGGCAACAAAAACAAACATGGCAGCCGCGAGCTACCTTCCGCGATGCTGAATTCCCAAATATGGGCAGACGGCTAACGTGAAACCGCTACGGCCAAACCAATAGCTTAATGTCTCTGTTGCCCTTGAACACCTACAAGTTCATAACCACTGGGTTGACCGGACTGGTTCGAATTTCCTGCATTAACATTCCCACCGTTCCTGGTTTCTGTTGTTTTTTCGCTTAATGTAGCTTCAGATATCCAAGCCACAAAATTGAGAAAAACACCAAACCATTTTGAACTAACGTGGAAACAAGGCTCTCACTAAGGAACGACTGTGCAACTACTAACAGAACAATTATTAACAGTACAAATGCAGCGCAACTTCCTAGAACAAGAATTAAAGACATCGAAAACGGAAACCAATACACACATCCACATCCTCTACGACCAGAACATTTATCACACCAAGGCCTGCACGTACATTCGTGAGAAAGATAAAATTCGTAGAAATCACATGAAAAGAAAATGAGAACAGCAGAAACAGAAATGACAGCCACTAAAACTGAAATACCCCAAAATGGTTCTGTTATAACGCCTAGCAATATCCACAGTAAATGTTGGCATGCCATGAATATTGCTGGGTAAAGGATGAAGAAAGAAATAACATTTGTGCTTGGGTCATTCTCATGGCCCTTGGTCAAGCTAAACCAGCATAACGTTTTAAAATTAATATTAGTCTCATCGCTATAACAGATACGCCCCAAACACCAAACTACCCTCCGAGCCAATACAACCATCACACATATAAAAAATACCCGTGCATATTTCTGAGTGGTGCCGCAACGTTTCCAGGCATAATCAATTAAGTAGAAACCCGAAATAAAAACAACTAAAGATAACAACATTACTGCTGCAACTTTGCTGTAATTTTTTTTGTTGTTCCACTCTTTTAGCTGCACTATAAGCCACTGTGAAGCAACTTGACTGAATACCAAACTTATGCAAAGAATACACCAGCACACTCCATGAAGCAGGTTCTTCCAATCAGGAAAAGGTTGAGCTTTTCCTTGACCCATGGTAACACACTCCACTGTGTTCAGACTTGGATCAGGAATATTTGGTTTTATTGCTATGTCCTGCAACTACAAATCAAAGCAAGAACATCACTACTAAAACAAAACACTCTCTAAAAGTTGCCTAAAATCGCATAACAAAAACGACAAACCCAAAACGATGACAACTACTATACTACTGCCGCTTCTGCTGCTGTGGCTGTTCTTCCGCCCACTGCACTGCTACATAACGTACTTCTGTTGCTACTGGGTACTACTGCTACTGCTGCTGCTAATGATACCAGAAGCATGACTACTGCTGCCCCTGCTTCTACTCTTCTAACTGTAATGCTGCCAATACTACAATACTGCTGCTGCTGTAGCAACTTCTGCTGTTGCCGCTACATAATCTTAATCTCTAGAATTCTCTGGTTCTCTCTCAATCATCCCCTGGAGTGTGTGTGTGTGTGTGAGAGAGAGAGAGAGACCATCTCTCCCTTGCATGACTCTTTCCAACAGACGCTCTTACCACAAGGCTAAACTCGTTTTTCTCTGTCTTCATTAGTTCCTAGCTATTTTTCATTATATTTTACTAGATTTTCGAACATTCACAATTATTCCACTTTTAATGTAGTTCTTAAATTCTAGTATTGTATTTTTATTAGGCTTTTAAAATGTAATAGTTCCTGAACACTCTTGATGTAAATTATTAATTGTTTAAGATACAGGGCCCCTATGGAGACCAGCCTTAGAGCTGAATGGGCTACCCTGTGTAAATGAAGTTTTACTTTACTTTTAATTTACTTTACTTGCACTTTGGGGGATGAGTACAGTCAAACAGCATTAATACGGACAGATCTAGAAAGGGGCCACAGAAAGTGTCCGTATTAATGGGGTGTCCTTATTATGCGGGTTGAATTTAAAGAAAAGTAAGAGCTTTCTTTCCCTTGGGACAAAGCAAACTGTCCATAATAACAAGATGTCCATATTAAGTGGGTGTCCGTAAAGTGGGGTTTGACTATAGAAGAGAATCCTGACTATAGACTATAGAAGAGAATCCTGGGAATGAGAATCCTGCTACTGATATTGGCACTGCTGCCACCCATGTCACCGCCCTGCCCAAAACCACCAGGAGTGCCAATGCAGGGACTGGAAAAGCCCATGATAATGTCTGCTCATAAAATCATATGTTATGGAGAAAAATAAACAATGACCTCCACAGTTTTCCTACTAGATTGAGCTTTGTAAATACGCCATATAAGAATGTATTTATTATTATTATTATTATTATCCCCAATATCCTTTTTTTTTCTAAAAAAATAAGGAATTTCATAATGATATTATTTAGACAGATTGAGTGATGTTTCTGGCAAACAGCAAACATCAGATTCAAGTTGAGAATTTCACGAAACAGAAAATGACAAGCTCAAAACAGCCAAAAACAATTATTATAAACAAGACTAACATGAAGCTACTAATTGTGGGGTAGAAATAATGAACAGCAAGCATGTAAAGCAGGTCATTGTGATACAAATTTACGTTTGCTGTTTGCTGTAAACGTGACCCCACCACTAGTTTCCTTGTGAAATGACGTCTGAGGAACAACAACAGAAATTTCTTACTGATGACATGTCATAACCCAGATCTGGGAAAACTGCTTGTGATTGGCCGTGCAATGAAAACGACATCCATTGGTACACATAGAGAGGCTCAATATTCTATGTTCCCAGACAAAGAACACCAGTGCCACTTATATTTTAGTAACCTTTTTGTTTTTTAAAGGCATTTACTGAGACAAATTTATGATTTGAAAATGCACAATATTTTACATTATCATTCAAAGCAAATTTTCTCCCTTTTCATTGGCCGAGAGCCCACCACGTGACCTGCGAATAACTGACTACAAATAAAGGTCTGCTCATGTGCAATTATGTCATCCTACTGTGTTTGGCTGCACATAATATTCTGCTTATGCATGAAAGAAACCACCCTTTTCTCCTTTTTGCGATCGCTCTTTCGTGAAAATGGCAGCTTCCTGAAGATATTTATCAAAAAACAAACTTGGTCACTGAATGATAAAACAATATTATTGAACTTGGTTATCGAAAAATATCATGATTTGTCAGTGTCTCACAGATCAATTATTTGCCTCAGCCTTTGGTTTTCGGCAAATAACAGTCCATTTTACAGTTACAATACAGGTGGAAACGAGGCTGGAGTTGACCTTGTTTTGATACAACCCTTCCTCCTTTATTATGTTAATCTAAGTTGTTCTTTTGCTAACTAGTATTTTTAGCATAATTTTCATAACAAAAGAAAAGAGGTTTGTATCAAAACAAAGGTCAACCTCAGCCTCACAGTTACTCAGAGGCTAGGGCACTAAGCTCGTAAATGTAAAATGGTCTATTCATCTGTTCACCACTGACAAATAACGATATTTTGTTCAACCTCCTCCAATAATTGTTAATTATGAACTGAAAAATTTGGAAGTGTAAGCTATATCTGTATCAGCTCTTTTTGAGAAGGCAAGTTAGCTAGACAGGGGTCAGGTGAGGGGAAAGATATCTTATCACCATCTCCAGGAGAACACTTCAGGGAAATGCAGAAGAAAATCAGTTAAAACAAAAGGGGGAATCACTACTTCCTTGATTGCACCTCAGTATGTTCCTCCCGCCCTTGATGATGATGATGATGATGATGATGATGATGAGGATGAGGATGAGGATGAGAATGATGATGATGATGATGATGATGATGATAAGTTAACAATAATAATGAAATGGCTAAAAGTCCTACCGTAGAAAGGAAGTAGATCATGGTGTCAGCAGAAAATCCCCTGCAGAACTGTGGCAATGTTAAGTGTAGCTGTCTTTCTCGCCTGTTTGGATAAATAGCCCACAAAGAAAACGCATTCATGGAAGCCAAGCTTATGCTTCCTCCACTAACATACAAACAGGATGCACTCCACGTGAACTTGTATGTCGTGATCTTCGTTTCTGTAGTTTTGCGCACATTTTCCCCTGTCTGTGAGATATTGGAAGTACTACCATTGATGGGAGATTCGGACGATCCGGCTAAATGAGTGAGATTGTCGCTGCCATGTAGGAAGGTAACGGTGATCTTGATCAGCAAAGACGGCACATCCACAGACGGATAAACAGCCTTAGAAATATTGTAGTAGTTATCATATGGCGGCTGCGATGAAATTAAATAGCGTTGTATATGCTCTTCCCGTTCCATGCACGTTGCAGACATCTCCTGTGATCCCGTCAACAGCACCAGAAAAGCAAACTCCACAAGGAACAAACCCATTTTAGTTCCTGGTTTCTACGTCACGCTGTTCGTGAGAGTTCGTGACCTTTCGGGTTAATCGAGAGAGCCTGGGAAGAGTAGTAAAACTTTATTGAAGCGCGGGCGAGCGCGGGCTCATTTCCCGAATGGAAGGAATGTGGATATGAAGTGGGTGAAGGTTGTGAGAATGCGATCAGACCTGGGAGTATAGTGAGAGTAAACCGTCGCCCACAGGCCAGTCAGTTACATTTATACAGCGCCAGCGCCTCAGGTGGGCAGTCAGTCGTGTCGGGGAAGGTTGGCGCATACGGCAGGAACTGATACGGAACTGACTGAAAACCTAGCGTCCGATCCTGCATAACGTCGCTTTTTAATTCCTTCCAAGCCAGATGGCTAGGATTGGCGAGGGGCAGGAAATTCCCAGCAATGAATTTAAAAAGGCCATCTACGCCATCAGAGGGAATAATCGCCAGACGAAAGGAATGGCATGTGCGGTTGCTATTGAAGGACAAAACGAAGGCTCTGTTCTGTTAGTCACTGACACTTGGAAAGGCCCAAAAACGAACACGGGGTGTCGATTGCACCGCTATTCAAGGATAGCGCAACACTTCAAAGACTATCAACTCAAACCTGTAAGCATCAGTCAACGTGGGGACTTTCCGCTAGTTATGTGTGATGGGAAAGACAGCAGCTTTGAGATAAAGAGTCTCCATAAAAAGTGTTTGAGTGGTCAGCAACTCGAGAGGGACTTCCGGGTTTACACGATTTATCGAGATAAATGTATAGATCTGGAATTAAAATACAATAATGGTGGTTACAATCTTATTGACAACGACTTACCTGATCTCACATTATGCGGATCCCCCATCATTGATGGGGATAACTTTGAAAAATATCTTGTGGGAATTTTGACAACCAACGATGAGGGCAAAGCTATTCCTTGTTTCCTGTCTAATGGGATAATAGGTGAGTAATGGAAATAAGGATGATTGACATATATATACCATGTTTTACTTGATTAAATTCTACCCTCAAATAAACGGTGGTTTTGATTAAACGCTGAGATTAAAACAAAATTACAAATAAAACTCCTCCCTTCGAATAAACGCCGCACCCAATCAGAAGAATACAGCATTAGTGGGAGGATTTATAATGGACTGCAAGGAGTGCAATTCGGTGTGAAATCATACGAGTGATTAACAAAATTGGACAACTGCGTAGCAGGAGTCCATTTTGTTAATCATGAGTAAGATTTCAGAATGAATTGGATGACACGAAGTTCTGTTACCAATTAATCCTAAGTATAACAAAATTTGTGATATTTTAGGCTTTTTTCTAATCAAAACACCAGAAATTTTGAGAGTTTTTTGTTAGCAGTGAAAAAAAGCCATTTAAGTGTGTGTGTGTAATGGGCTGTACTGTCCATTACTTAGACATGACATGTACTGTCCTATTACACTGTCCTATTTGTGCTGAAATCAGGAGAGTTGATAGCCAATCAGGTTTGAGAATTTTGTTATACAGAGTTTGATAATAAGAAAAATGCAATACAACTTGCCGTGGTTAATCTACACAATTCTGATAATTACAATTCCATCTCAGCACAAAAGGCAAGAGCAAGACATGTAGGAACTTTCGCGTTTCTGGAGGAAAAGGGGAAAGGTGGAAGTGAAAAAGGGAGAGAGCTGAAGGAGAGAAACACCTGACACAGATGCTTTTACTTCGATATCATCCAATCAAAATCACTTCCAGTCATTGGGTTGTCAGCTTCACATGTCAAAAAGCTCGCCTAATATAAATCTCACCTTATAGTTTGGCCGAGCTCCAGTGCTTGCATTGCTATGATTTCGCTTTCAAGTTTCTGAAACCTCCAATGAGGAGTTTTCAAATACTTGTAATGAAAAACCTGCCGTTTTTGAGGAATTATAACATGTTTTAGGAATTGTGCTAGTGTAAGATCGCCAACGCTCTGTTTGTGAAAAAACGTGTGCTCGGAAAATTGTAAATTGCTTTTGTTTACAGAGTTACAACAGGCACTCATTCCTGAGAGTCTAGCAGCTAAAAAGCTGGTGTAGATCAGGCCGAGAATCATTTGAGAGAAAATCTCTTTTTTTTCCGTTAGGTTTTGTTGGTTATCCCTCATATTCTTAGGTGGTTGAAAGGAGCTGCAAGAATAAATAAGATGGTGTGATGGTGAAACACCTATCCTAGAAAATTACAAAACAGCAGCAAATTCCACCTCTTCACAGAGAGCTCATGAAAGCTGTAACAAGTTCAGTTAAAAAAAAAGTGAGAGCGTATAGCCAAGGTCAATCCGGTTGGCGAAATATGATGGCGCTTGCTTGAGCTTAAGATATTTTAAAAGTGAAAAAAAATTTGGAAGAGGAAGCGAAATTCCAATCACATACGCTATCGTAGCCAGCACAAGCAAAGTCAAGCTAAAGCCTTAATTGGCGCTGTAGGCTATTCTCAATACATGGCTACCTTGCTGTCGCTCTAATTTTATTTACAGTAACAATACCCTTTTAACGGCAGGATGTTGTAAATCAGAACTTAGATATCTGAAGCACTGATATCGTCTTCTTTGTCCCAGTCTTGTGAAACCAATAATCAGACATAGTTTCAGCAGAAGCTGGTATATGAGGCTTTTCCATACTCCTAGGACATCTTTTCTTTTAACTACGAGGCTTTGAAAACACAATTCTTAGTTTTTTTTATTTTAGGAAAGAACTTGAGAGCGCCCTCTAGAGCCTTTTTGAATTTCTCTCTGTGTCTCTGTCCATAAAAGTACCACATGAAATCAAAACATTGATAAAAAATTTTAATGGCTTCTCCTTGCTGATCACTCTGCTCGTATTTGCTTGTGGTCGGTGACATCAGGGAGTATTGTGTGTTATCCAATCACTACCACATCCAGATTTTGGATGTGTCACACGATTTGCTGAATGGTTTTGTGTCAGGCCTTCCTTTATCTTCTCCCCCTCCCCCCTACCCCATCTAAAATCTCCTCTCCCCTAGCCCCTCAGGAAGGCCTGATATTCAGGCTAGAACTTAAAACATCTTTCTGTTTTACATACATAATTCAAAAAATGGTTTATCGTAATTTCTGTATTCAAAATAAAATAAATTAGGGTCATTGGGAAAGGTCTCCAATCTTAAATTAAATAGGGTAGCAAAATGAATGGACTTTTTTCTCAGAGGAACAGAATTTGAATTAATTCAAATCAGATGGTGAACTCCTACCTAAAATGACTTTTTACAAATTTTCTTTGAATAAACAGGTGAATCAGACAGGTTTGATTTTATTTTCTTCTCATTAATTATTTTGCAATCACTTACTCTAGTATTGGCATTTCGGGTTGTCGCTTATGGGAGCCTAATTAAACTGTAGTATTTTAGTCAAATCCAACTAGTGGTCCATCATCAATGCTGCATTCTGATTGGTTGAGCAAATACTAGGCTATACGTTATAGCCCACTAGTAGCGAAAGGCGTGGGCTTTTTAGCTTCAAAAAATGATTAAAGTCTAGCTTTAACTAGCTAAATTTTTTTTTATTCTCGATATTTTTGACCAACTAGTTGGATTTTTACTAAAACAATAATTATTATTCCTCTCACCCTCATGCCTTGGGCCTCATGGGCTATTGACTCAGAGCCCATTCAGACTCAAGGAATAATATTAAATAGCTATTCAACTTAATTATTCATCATATACCCTACATGTATTTACTTCTTATAGAACAGCCTGCATTCACCACACATCCTGAAGATCGTCAGACACGGAGGGAAGGGGAAAATATAACCTTCGCAAGTGATGCAAATGGCATTCCTGAACCAAAATTTACTTGGACCAAAAATGAATCTGCTGTAACTGTCAATGATAGAATCAGTTTATTAGCAGCTAACAAACAACTGAAAATTACAAATGTGAATACGACAGACAGTGGAAGATACAGATGTGTAGCTACCAACAGTTTTGGCACAGTTTACTCCGATGCTGCTACGTTAACAGTAAATTGTAAGAAAACCTTTTCTCACTTTTTACTTAAAACCAATTGAAAAATCCTGTAGCACTAAGTAAACATTCTTTTACATTCCTTCCATTGCTCCTTTCCTGGATTATCTCTCAGTCAGTCACTCCATATGAGCACTGCCTTTCGAAAAAGGGGCTTGTCAGGTGCCCCTCTGACTTGATTACCTTTCACTATTCTTTTATTCAGAATCAAAAAAGTTGTATGTGTGAATTTTTTTGGTTAATTAAGGGGACCCTGTCTATTTCCTTATTCATTTTAATATCTTTATATGAGAAGTGTCTGCACTTATGATTAGGGTTGTGAGAAAGTTTTGAAGTAGACGGCTGAGTTGTCAGAGTAAGTGACCAGTCCAGTAGGGATATTTTATTTAAAAAAAGTGAACTGTAAAGAAATGCCAAGCAGAGTAGCCGGCTGAACTAACCAGGTAGGCAGCTATTTTCCCTGGCAGCCAGCTACTTTTGACAACCCTGTATGTTACTCAAGTAAACCAGTTTCTTGTGGTCTTGGACTAGTCTCCAGAGTACTGCTAAGGTAAACACTGATACTGTCAATCAATACATTGACTGTGATTATCAAACAATTATCAGTATCACATTTACCTTTAAAGGACTTTGTTTCCTTTGTCAACACGTAAAGCAATTTCTGTAATCTTAGTTTTGTTTTGTGACTGTGTCTAGTTTTAAGATCATTGAAGTACATCATTAACTTCGGTCCTAAGTTTTTTTTGTAAAGTAGATATTAAACTGAAAATGTACTTCATTCTGATTAAGAGGGTGCATTTATTCATTAATTTCTTATCACAGATAAGCCTAAATTCACTGAACACCCAGAGAGTCAGACGAGGAGGGAAGGATCATCTGTAGACTTTTTAAGT